GAAATTCTAGGTAGACTCACTCTCTCTCTCTCTCTCTTATATATATATATATATATATATATATCAGCAATTATGTGATGTTCTAATTTTTAAGAAACAAATCAAACCACTGATATAAAAAGATATACCTCCAGAGGGCCTGGTATAGAAGATATTGCAATTCTGAAACCATTTCCTTCAATCACTTTCAGATCTTTCCTAAGCATTTCATTAACAGTTAGACCTAGCATGAAAAAAAAACACATACAAAAAACATTTTCTAACAGAGCATGTGAAAAATATAGCATTTACATGATTTTTTAAAATACTATATAAAATGTACTGAGGAAAACAATTTTCCCTTCTGCATTATTGATACTTTATTTCAAAGATAATTTCCTATGAGACTCTCAGTGCTAACCATACACTTCTTGCTTCTTTACTGGTAGAGTAAAATAACATTCTAAAATGTTGAACAGCTGAGAAGCTGGTCTAAACATGTTATTAATACAAATGTACTGAATGAAAAGCTTCACAAGATTATTTTCAAAATGGCAAAAAAAAACATGGCATAAAATATATAGGATAAAAAATTACGTCAAAAACAAAATGTCACATATAAGAATGACAATAAAAGTTAATACATTCCAGTAGGTGGTATCTACAAATATAGGATTCAAACAGTGGTGGGAGTACATCATCTATTAGATTCCTCTATTTAACAGAAACTAATAGTGTTCAGTACATCAAGAAAAGAATAACTAAAGAACAATAAATTAACACACTTTATGGTTTTATGAGATTAAAAACAAAATTACAATATTAGGTTTAACCTACATTACTAAACTTCACACATGTCTGTAAACCTATGAACATAAACATATAGACTACTCAGAATTGTACAAGAGCCGTTGGCAGACTTTGGAAGATATCTATAACACTTTTAGACAGTAAAGGCAATAACAGTGGTACATAGAAATAAGAACTTATGCAAGTAGTCACAAGGTTACTAAAATAAGATTATGGATTTATTTTGTTCCTTTGTACAATTTATTAAATTACATGTTATTTTGATATGTAATATTACAAGCATAAAACTCTTGCAATGGTTGCTTTTTCTTATGAGGTGGCTTTAACATTCCAACATTTAAATTTTTTATAAAAAAATAAATAGCTAAGTTTTAGGCTCCTTTTTTTTCTTTTAAATACTCTGCTGTATTACCTTAACTTAGCCACAGAAAAAAAATTTGGGAAAATATTTTCTGTTACAGATGTTCCACCCCATTTATAGATGTTACATTTCAAAGTAACTGAAGAAGAAAATTGATTTGATGGTTTTATTGACATTTCAAACAATATGTTTATCATTAACATTCAATATAAACTCCAGTGTTTTTACTTACAAAAACAAAGTGTGAAAAAATATGTATTAGCATACATACATAAATATCTTTATATCCTTGTTACTACATATAGTGCAACTGTTACGACAGCCAATTATAAGATTAGTTAGGAAATTGGTATTTGTTTTACTATGGAGGATGTCCTATTGAGTAACAAAAAGCTATACATCTTAAGGACTGAATATAATAGTATGTGTAATTAAAATGCTTAATAGCACCTTATGTATATATGACAAAGAAAAGCTTGAGAGATTAATAAGATTTTAGTCTTCTTCTTAAAGATATTCTATGAAACAAAATAGCATGTTTGTCTTCTTAAAGACATTCTATGAAACAAAATGTCACAATATTCTTATTTATGTTTTTGTGATTCTATAATTCCTTGAATCATTTACCTACTGTGTTTAGTGTTGACACCACAGATTCACTTATAAAAGTATTTATTTTACACATTGAAATTTAGTGATCTTGTGATTCATTTGAGAGTCCATTTGGTGCAATTAATATACAATAGTTCAACTCTAATATCAAAAACCTACCTAAAGGTTACTTTATTTCTGAAAGGATCTTACTTACCTGAAACATCAAACTTTGCCTTCTGTAATGCTTCAAAAATCTCCACCCTTTTAACATCCTCCAAAACAGTTTCAAGTTTTGTTACCATTTCAACATCTTTTGATGTTAATCTTTTGGCTTCCTGTGATAAACATACTGTGTCTAGAAGAATTGTGCCTGTTCACCAGTAATAAAAAATTAAATGATCATGTAACTTTAACGGTCTAGTATATAGTTCTCTTTTTACTTTAAAACTCAAAAACTATAATAAAATGACAAATACACATTTAACCCTTTCACAATGGGTGGGTTTAACTGTGCATGTCACGATCATTTAACAGTTTATTTTCAAAACTTTATAAAGTAACTTTATTATTACTATATATCAATGAAATTGGCATCAAAATGTTGCTTATATTTCAAATTATAATTTCATGTATGTTTTAATTTCTTAGTTCCAAAGAAAACATGAAATTTGATACTGGTTAGCTAGAATATAAACTTAGAACCTCCTACCACTTTGATTTGCTGAGAAATCAATGTATCTAGCAAATCAACTAGAGTGATGCCTCCTCCTACTCCATTCTTTCCAAACCTCTTGTTTAGTACCACCTACTTTTCTTAGGGGTCTGTTTATAACAAATAGAAAGGACAAGTTGTGCTTTATGTGATTCTGACAGTTGTTTGTAAAGAACTTGGAAGAGAAATTAATATTTTTGCAAAGACTGTTGAATGGTGATGACCAAGTTGTTGCTCTGAATGGAGATAAAAAATTTTTTAACACATGTATACTTTATTTATAAACCCAAGCAAAATGCAGATGTTTTGGGTGTACTAGTAAAGTAATATTTTCTTTCTAAAATGTATATGTGAAGCCTACAAAAATTATATTTCATCACCCTCCACTCAAAAGAATATACGAGGCTTAGCACTAAAGGCACACGTGAGCATAAAATATTTTTCTGTCACCATAAGTTCTCGTAAGTACTAGAAATCATTGTTTTTCAATGTAATTTTCATATATTGTTCAAGCTTTAAGAAAAATAACTAAAATTTAAGCATTTATGAGTAAATATATATATATATATGTATATATGTAATCTATGGTAGCTGAAATATCGGTGTAGTTTGCAAAATATTGGTAATACAGTTAGATTTGTACTTTGTATTTGATTCTGTATATATATATACATATATATATATATATTATAAATTATTATTACTTACTTCAAGGTAAGAGTCAGTAACAACTCAAGGTGTTTCATAACTGTAGGGAACTTCTAAACTACACTTTAGCTGAAAGAGTAAGAATGTTTTCCAAAGAAGACTAAACTTATAAGGCTTGTAAAACTAAATGAGTGTGATAAGTAGTACTGATACTCGAGATTTTATTGGTTGATGAATAAGTGCTGAAAAGGGAAATAGGATTTTATAAGCATGTGCTCAAATAACATTTTTGTACACCTATGCTGCTAAATTCCAAACACCCCAAAAGGATTACTAATATTCAATGAATTGCAATGTTTATTGTTTCAGCACAAAACCAACCACATAATAAATGTTTTGACAGGTTCAAAGTGCAGTGTTGTTACTCTCAAAAAGTCTTATTGTGAACACTGTAAGATAAGTACATAAGCCGATAAATTACACATCCTGTTGTCGGCATAAATGTTTTCAAGTGCAGCGTTGTTACTCTCAAAAAGTCTTATTGTGAACACTGTAAGATAAGTACATAAGCCGATA